CCGTAAAATTTCTTTCATAGACCACTCGACTGGAGAAAGAAGCTATTCTTATATTCGCATGGGTCCTTGTGCTGTTGAGAGACTTTTGTCCAGACCCGGCAGATAGTGCTCGAGGAGACAATTCGGAAGATGTCCATCAAAGTCTGGGGTGTTCAAAAAGGAGGGGCCATTGAAGTTTCGCCCATTGCCACCATGTTCAGTGAACGGCTAGGATTAATAATGAGGTGCTGAGTCCCGGCCTACAACCTTTTCGAAAAGTCTGTTGCAAATCACGATTGTTTCCAAAGGGAGGTCCCTAACAACGATTTCATCTGGAAAAAATGCTAAACGCAACGGCTGTGATAGCCATTCGGCTAATCCGTATCTTCAGGAACTTTCAATCCTTATTGAAAAACGTAAGGTGTTCGTGGTTCGCGGTCTCTACGCCATTGAAACAAAGAGCATCTCACAAGTGCCGCTAACACGTCGTGCAATTTGCTAGTTGGGTAACAGATCTGTAGCATGTATCCAGACACACGCTTCACCTAGCAGACAAACAAAACTGCTTCACTTTGTAAAACTTTGTCGTCCTACACCCGATTCAGATTCCTGAAAATAGCTCTTGCCGTTTTCAAATAAATTAGTCCAGATAATTTTGATACAAAGAAAAATTTTGCCTGAAAAATAGTCTCGCTAAAGCATTAGAAACGAAATCTTTTGCCGGAAGAAGTCATTGTAGGTTACGACCACGAGGAAGTTGAACGGTGAAGGTTTCATAACACAAAAGCCTTTAGCAATACCCCCGAGACATCGAATTCGGTGTCCATACTTTTGAGCCACTGGTAGTCAGTCAACTTCCTCGCGGGAAAGCGATGTAAATGACAATGAACGATGTTATTATCACGCACAGTCCGAGGACATATGCTGAATCGTATTCATAGGCCAGTCAAGCTTTTATGCAATCGAGTGTCGTTTAGTTTGGTTCCAGATCGAGAGAACAAAACCTTGGGTTTATGCATCGGCATGGTGGCATCGCCGACACTTCAGCGTCACTGTCGGCCGACGCTCAGTTGGTCATTGTGGTGGCCGAATCGCGTTCAAAATGACCAGTACCAATACTAATTAAAGTTAGGAATGCATGGCGCATCCTACAAAGAATCGAATAACGCAGGATTACCCAATCCTTCATGCTTTTGATATCTCCAACCACTATGAGTAGGTAAAGCTTCATAGCGTTCAAAGCACTTTTTGTTGAGAAATTTTGGAGCTACTGCCTTGTAGATGATTTCGACAGCTCTGTAGATGTAATTGATCCGAGGTCTTCTTAGTTGTTATGATGATTCTCATGGAATCTGTAAGAAGTGAGAACTAAGTTGTTCCTAATTTGTCATCATTTTCAGTGCAACGATTCATCTACAAAGGAATTCCGGCTCCAATGCGAAAGGAGGTGAGCGATTACAGGGTGCGGCGGGAGTTCTGGTGGCCCTGATGACCCAGCCGTTCATATGATCGTTACGATACGCGCGACCACCATAGACACTGAGACTGTGCAAACACACCACTTGGGCCCCTCCTAAGCACACTTTTTCCATTTTTTTGGCGATAAAGGGGGACTTATTGCGGCAACGAACTGGTCGCAGGGCTGCCTAATATGATGGCTAGGAAATTATCTGTCGCTACTAGTTCGAAGAAGCGCCGCTGGTAGCAACGGCGGCGGCGTCGGCGGCGACGGCGGACCATAATCGTACCATTCATTATCTCTTCCATCGACGCACATTTCTGGTTCCTCCTCCCGTCTCATACACTGGCAATTAGTCATCGGGGATGAGGTCAAGAGCTGCGAAATTGGAAAGAGGCGCTCGTAGACAACTGGGTTATTCTGACTGTTAAAGTAAACAATACGCAACCATCTGGTCAGCCTATGATAACAGAGAAAAACGCTGATTTGGAGAGAGGGTGTAAAGAGCACTTTTCGTTCCGTTCTTATCGCAACCTGTCACAGTCGGCCATGTGATACAAACGGGTTTGCATAAGGGTGGCGAAATAAGGTGCAGCAATTCAACTCAAGCGGGGACTGATAAACCCCACTAAGCTTTCTGGCACATTTCAGAACATTAGAGGCGCTTGTACTAGGCTAGATTCTCCTCGCTATTTTTATACAGCGATATCAATAACTCTTAATTGATGCCTCGACATCCCCGACATTTCTTCTCGTTCACAACAGATGTTGGGCGTGACCTCGCCCAGTTCTCAGGTTAAAGGTCATTCCCGAGTATGACAACCATCTACCACTGCCTAAATCTCAAAGGCTAAACGTAACTTGTTTTTATCTGCCTCAAGTACGTAACAATCATTGCAAGCAAGTATTCCTAGGATTGAACCCTTTAAGCCACAATATGGTTCATCTAACAAATGCTTAAATATTTGTCATCATCTCGTCCACTCAGCAGCCGCATGGCTAGTGGCTGACCTAACTGAGAGGAGTATTGCTTAATAATTATTTTCTACACGATAATATAAGATAACGATTTTTTATCTACTATATTATAGTCAAGAATGCGATGAGCCTCCCCCAGCACAATAGTTGCCATTTATAGGGCGGCCATTTGACTCAACATAATGCAGAATGTCCCCAACTTGGCACCGCGTGCACACTTATTGCTCAAGTTTCGTTGCAAAGCTACAGAAGATAGCTGCGTGAGTTGCGGAGTTACAAAAATACAGGCATCTCACAATCATTTGCTGGTTATGAACAAACTTCGCCGCCACTCATTTTGGCCATGAACCCTATAAAGTCCAGTTTGATAATGTGCTATATTCCTTGCTCTTTTTGCGTAGCTGCTCTATCTTAAGGGACACCAGATAAGTTTAATCATCATGCTGCCTGATTAATTGGGACGCATATTTCCGTGCTGCCTTCTATGCGTCGCCTGACCCCAACAAAGCACTGACGACTTTAATTCTTGGCCAGGGATGCCCAATCTGATGTCAATTGCGCAAAGGTTGAAGTCAATCCGTGGCCCCATTAATGGGCCTGGAATCTGAAAAATTGATACGGGTCTCTGGAGGATATAAGGCTATTTTAGAGATTAGTTAAAGGCCCCATTACTTCTCAGCCTTGCTAATCTGCAACTGAGTTTCACGGCTTGGTCTTTTCCGGTGACCTCTCGAGGAACTATTTCCAGAAAAAAAGTGTGGATACTGACAACCATTACAAACTCTCCATACTCCTATTTAGATAGATCAACACACGTTTATAATTGCATTCTGTTGAATATATGTGAGCAAGTAATTGTGGTAGCACAACTTAGGTGTTCACTCAAAAAAAGTAAATTAAAATAACTGTGTACACTATCTCAATGTCATTTTTAAGAATTTTGGAAGCGCTGAGCGCCTGCGTATGAACGCACAAATTACCCCAATAAAGCTTCGAACTCTCTTGAACATCAAAAAGTTTACTTTTGCTACCGCATTTAATGCACCAACTGCACGTCTTGCGAGACGAAGCTAAGGAACTGGAAAACTACTAGGTAGCCATGGAACCTGGGACCTAGCGTGACAAGACAATGAAGACACAAAAAAAAAACCATGCGAGTCTAGATCCCAGCTATCGCTATAATATGCCAACTCTTGCGCGGAATCGTAGCAAATGGGCGTCGCCAGGCCTACGAAACAAGCGTCAAGAAGTCTTGCCACTTACGTTCTAATAGCAAAGTGGGTACAACCTCTGCAGGCCATTTCTTCTTAGTAATGAAGGGGATTGCTCTTCACAGCTAATCGGCGACTGTTCCTTTGAGTATTAGGCGAGGTCACGTCCAACATCTGTTGACTGTGAACCCAAGGGTAGAGGGGAACAAGATCACATGGAAAAAGAGAAGTTAAGAGGAAGTGGTTGTAAATATTGCTGGAGTGGAGGCTAGATGACAACTAGGTAGTATGATGGGAACGGCTGTGCGGAGTTAAAAATAGTCCAGAATAATTTCAGTAGTGCTCCGTATGTGGAAATGCTTTCCTTTTTCCAGTCATACTATATCCTTGACTATTTGTACTTTTCAGTAACAGAACCTACTGCGGTCTTAAAATCGTCCACTTTTGACTAATTGAATAGAGCGTGACTTTTGAAATACGTGAACAAAGAACGCCCATTTTCGTGCCTATGCCATAGGTTCCAGTGCCGTGTACTGACTATGAAGTTGTAAACGACGAGCGCTGTCGCGAGAATCTCACCTCATCAGTCTGGCCATCAAGTTTTTAGGGCGCTGGGATTTTGCGGGCCGATAAAGCATAGCACATTGATGCTTGACTTCCGTTTTTCTCGCTTTTAACGACCGAGGCAAAAACTGCCGGCTGGTGTGAGCGATGCCGACGCGACCAGTCCAGTTTGGCTGAAAGGCTCACAAATCACGTTCACGTCAATCCGTCAGCTGTTACTATTTCCCTACAATGCTGTGCAGTTTTTTCTAAGGAAAAGTTAACAATACTGAAAAATCTGCAGCTGATTTTTTTGTTCATGGCTTATCCACATCAAAGGTGGTGTGCACGCCCTAATACCCTTCAACGTACAGATGGGCGAGGGAGGTTGAACACAGAGAATGAATGCGCGCCGGGGAGACGACCTTGAGATTAACATTTGGTCAGGTCTAACAACTTCTCTAATCGCCCGCTTTATGCGGCGAATCCGCGATTCCGTTCACATCGCTCTTCTCAAAAAAGCGTTGCTTTGGGATTATCGGAGGAGATTTATTAGTGGTATGCGTCTTGGTGAACAATGACCGCAATGAGAGAAATTCCAAACGCTTCCAATCAAAAGGGTTTCATTTCACATTCCAACCCCCATTATTCATCGCTGACTACGAAAAGAAAGCCTTGAGAGAGTTCTTCAGCTGATAACAACTTCAGTAATTGCTTTTACTTTTTTACAGTTACTGCTAAGTGATAAATGACTAACAACGGTATTCTAGTACTTTTCCAACGGCACTATTTTCATTGAAAATATGTTCCTCGGCAGGATTTTTTTCCTAATGTACGCTCCATTGCAGATATGGATGAGAAATTGCGCCCCCCGTGGAGCGCCGCGAATGGCGAATGTACCAGAGAGCGTTGTGGAAGCGATTCGGCTCGATTTACCAAGAACATTCCCGAACAATCAGTTCCTTCAAACCGAACGGTGAATTTACTCAAACGGTGAAGAGCGTGGCGTAGCCAAAAACCCTTCAACCGTAACCCCCAACCCCGTCTCTCAACCTTTCCAGGATCTTGTCCTTGCATCACCTAATCATTATCACGGAAAAGTTCTTTGTAAACCTTCCCGGCAGAGCCCTTGGATTCAATCCCTTCCCGAACCAATCTCTAAAGTAAAAATATTGTGGATCCCGCGGTGCAAGCCTAACCCTGTTTTGCATTCACTCAAGGAAATATCATAGCCTGTCAGCCCCGCGACCATCCGAAATCTGCTCGTATCAGCTATTTGTTTTCGCGTGACGTTTCGTATAGATACCGTCGACTTGAATTTCCTTATTTAGCCTTATTTGAAACTTTAGTCAAATCGCGCGGTCTGTAGTGAAATTGGGCTACGATCCGATCATCCCAGATTGTTCGATTTTCAATCCTGAATGTTGAAAATCGTGTCAATTCATGAGTTCTGCGGAAGTTTCTGCTTATGGGAGTAGAGGTTCCTCTTCTGGCAAAAAGTGTTGCCTACCCAATTCAGTGGCTTTGTTGAAAATCGAATTCGGCCGGGATAACCGGAATGTATCGCCATAGATTATTACGAAAATTGCATAGATGGCATAATACAAGTGCACTATCGGAAGTGCAGAAAAACCCTGATGGCAATTATTCATGGCAATGCCACTTCAGGCGCAAAGAGCCTCACAAAAAGTCATCCAAGAATGCAAGGTCGTTTGATATTCAGCTGTTGCGCTTTTTGTTAACCCACGCAAGCCTTCTGGATACACCATCATACCCAACCATTAGACCACCAACCATTTCGCGGACCTCCTGCACTCACTGAGGTGTTGTTTGGTACCCGCCTTTCTGACGCCAGTTTTTGCCAGCGGACGGCGGTTGTCAGATCAAAGCCGCCGACGTCGGGTGCAAATGACCTTCTGCTTCGGTCGGTGATCGAATGTGACACCCCATTGAACGAGATAGCGATCATAACGTCGTGCTTAACGACAATCTTCTCTTTTCTTTGTGAAGAATTTTATTATAGGGTACGTAACGCACTTGGACGAGTACTGTACACCCTTGCGCAACATGTGCCGTCCGTTGGATATTGTCAGGTAATTCAAGAGATTCGTTCCACATTCTGTCAACTGTAGTTGTCGCTGAGCAACAGTGACAAAGCCAGGCGTTTTCCTGAAGTGTTCCATCCATGAAAAGACTGTTTTTTGAATATTTGCACACCATGATCGGTAAACATGGCACGCAGCCAGCAGCGCTCCACAGGCCCATTAAAGGGATTTGCGGCGTTTTGTAAGGGAAAATCTCTCGTGTTTAGTCATTCTTTCCTTCTCTGTTTCACATCGATGATCGCTAAGAAGACACCAAAACACCTCCGGTTGAGCGGAAAGGTACTCCGAGCTGGACCGCATATGAATAAGGATCAACCGCCTGTGATGTCTCAAGGAGATCTTGAAATTCTCGAGATTCGACAACTTGCTAAGAACTCGTTCCTCATAAACTGCCTCAATTTGCTCCTAGCGCGCGCCTCCCTAAATAGCTGCTCATAGTAATCCGGTTCACATATTCAAACTTGCAATTGGCTCCCCAGCCGCAGGGGCCCCATCCCCCCTTTTTTTCGAAGCTTCTTCAGCTTAGTCAAGTCTGAGAGCCTCACTTACACCTGGATTTGAACCTAACCAAGTCCAACTCTAATCGACTGTGCTCAGCCATCCGTGGAGGACCACATAGGAAATCAAGTAACGTGGAATACCCAAGAATGGCTGGTACGAAAAGGGTACCATTCTTGAAAGACCTGCGAAAAGCGGACAATTTGAGTTGGAATGTTGTGAACTTTGAGAACTTTCCATTTAAACTATTTCAACAGTTCATACCCACACCAAAGGGGGGGAGGCAATGAAAAAATGTGATGAGACCTGTGTATGACTTCTGCATGGCGACAATCTTTCGACGGCAGAATCGCTGGAAGTTGCACAAGGGCAGAGTCTTCCCCTCCTGTAATGTCCTGCTCAGCCATGTTTAGACTCTGCGAGCAGGCTATCGAAGGAATGCCACCACGAACTGCTTCTCTCGGACAGCTATCGTGAGAGAATTTTTTGCATTGGAGAAACCAGAACAGGTTGTTTCCATTTCATTTCAATTTGAATTTGGTCCCGAAGGATTCGTACGCCAATTTTAATTGATCCGCGAAATGTAAAATAAAAGGTCTCTGTAGATATTGAAACGATGGATTACAGTAAAACAGCAGAATTCTAAGAAAGTTTTGCCTCTTGCGACCCTTCCCCGATCCCTTACACTGTTAATGTTAAGCCCATTGCCCCATCCATGTGGGTCAACGCCACTGCGGCAATTTGGTGGTGCTATTTGGCGTATGCTTCTTTGTTGTTTGCACACTGCCGCGTAGCTGCAACACAAATCAACTCACGACTCCATTAGCGGCTTTATAATGATTATTCCTGTCCTTCACGTTTTATAGGAAATTCAATTACACAAGTGTTTTTTGGCATAGATGACATTTATGTGCAAGAAAAAATATTATAAGTTGGACGATTATTGAGCCAGCGCATTGCAGGGGTTGAATTTCGTCGCTGCTGTGATTCTTCTGGTGCTGAAAGATGAATCGAAAGCGTCGGATCTGCTTGTGCAGATGGTTCGACAACGACAGGACTACTACAATGAGACCATGTCAGGACTGCAGAGGGACTGCAAAGTACTGCAATGGATTCTAGCGTAAGATCAGATGTTTCTTTACATTCATCATTCCTAGCGGTCATTCTTTGTTCTCGTTCGCGTTAGCCAAGAGACGGGGGGAAGTGGGTGTGCATAGTGAACTGGTTCGGGTACCTCCCGGTACGAAGGTGCCTCTGACGACTACTCGAAACTTTCGTCTCTCCGCTCGGCAAATAGCGCTCGACTCGAAACCAAATCACGGTCAAACACCCTCCTATCTGACACTATTCATGAATATCGCCATCATAAGTGTCGGGAAAAAACACTTCGTAAGTACTTTGTGTAAGGCACAGCAAGTACACTTGCCGGGAGTCAGGAGTTGATGAAAAATGTACACCATCGACAGATCGCCTTCAATAAATCTACAATGAAAGGAAGTGAATGAAATGCTCAACCGTCGCCTATGACATGTGGCTCGACATTCCTACCCATTCATCTCCAGTTTTTCTGGAAAATCGTTTTCGAACGTGTGCCTCACGCTTATGAATCAAGCAAGCCTTGAAAAGTTGTAAGCAGGGGGCATACCAAATCCGAACGTTTAGGGAGGGGAAGCCGGCAATTAGAACAGGTTTTAGAAATTAGAATTAGAACAACGCACCACTAAGTTTACTCATTTTACTTGAATTATACTTCTTACTTTACTTCTTATTGACTTCATTTGGTCCGAACTTTAGACACATTCTAAGTAGCTTCCGTGTTTTTCTTTTGGCAATATTAAGTTCATGGCGTGTAGTGAAATACTAATGCTTGAAAGAGGCAAAACAAGGGCAAAGGCTTGAACATTAGACGGCACAATATTCTTTTGTTGAGGTGCCCTTGTGTCCGAGATTAACCCTAGAATATATGGCACTTTGAACGGTTTCCGGGTTAACAACTACTAGTTGCGGGGCACTGAGCGTACAAGCTGGTGATTTTGCCCTCCCAGACTAGTCCGGATCCAATTCTATCATCCGAAGGGACAAGTCAATGGGGTGGCCAGGACCTGGACGTGGTTCGAGACAAGATTCGATACCATGCGTTGGGGAATGACATTTCGCACCAATATTAGATGACCTGGGCTAAACCATAAATATGTTTAAAAAATGCTTTCAT